CCATTTAAAAAAATTTAAATATTTAATTATATTTTATACACATAGTGAAATGGTTGCTACAGCCAATCCAATTAACATATCCGTTCTCTTACAGTTACAATTTGAATGCGTGTGTATGTGTGTGTGAGAGAGTCAAAACCTACGCTATTAGCACATTTCCAGTATACAATATAATTACATTGACTATAGTCCTCGGGCTGTACCTTAGATCGCTAGGCTCATTTATCCTACAGAACTGCAACTTTGTGCACATTGACCTACATCTTCCAATTTCCTTCCTACCCCACATAACCACCATTCTACTGTGCTTCCACAGATTCTACTTTTTGTAGATTCCACATATAAGTGAGATTATGCAGTATTTTTCTTTCAGTCTCTGGATTATTTTACCTAGTACAATGCCCTCCAGGTTTATTCATGTTGCTGCAAATGGCAGGATATTTTTCTTTTTTAAGTTTGGATAATATTCTATTTAGAGAACAGATACAAACATCTATTTTTCCAACTATCTTTCCATTCATATCACAATTTCTTCATCCATTTCTCTATCAATGGACACTTAGGCTGTTTCCATATCTTGGCTACTGAGAATTATTGTAAATAATGCTGCAGTGAACATGAGAGTACTGGTATCGCCATGAAACACTGATTTCATTTCCCTGTAATATATATCCATAAGCAGAATTTCTGGGTCATATGTTAGCTCTAGTTTTAATACTTTTAGAAGCCATCATACCCTTTTCCAAAATGGCTAAAATAATTTGAATTTCCACCAACAGTGCATAAGGGTTCCCTTTTCTCCAAACACTTGCCAACCCTTGTTATCTCTTCTCTTTTTGAAAACAGACATCCTAACAGTTTGAGGTGATATTGTGCTGTGGTTTTGATTTGCATTTTCCTGATAATTAGTAAATTTGAGTACTTTTTCATGTATTATTGGCTATTTTTATATCTTCTTTCAAGTCCTTTGCTCACTTTTTAACAGGAGCCACATTTCAATCACATCTTCCTTTTAATTACAAAAGCAAAACAAATGAATAATTGTAGAGAACATTATAGATTATAAAGTAATTTAAAAATATTAGGACAAATAACAAATATTTCACCTGTTTATGTTTGTATGTTTTTGCTTTAGGAATATTAGCCACTAGAAAGATGGGAATGAAAAGAGGCAACACACAGGGACTGCTGACCTTTACAATGCAGCTATGGACAAGATAAAAGAAAGAGAAATAATATATAGGCTGGGCCTGGAAATTATATTCAAAACTTTGATTGTAAAAGAGAGTTAAGTGAAGGTAAAACTGATTCCTATTTTCTGATAATGACATAGAAACTACCATGAGAAAAAAAAGGGTAGGCCTTTTAGGAATCCTCCTTCATGGAAAGTTCATTCTCACATATAGCCTTGTATGTTTGGTAATGCCATAGAGACTGGGACAAAAAGAGGACTGATATAACAACTTCTTTGGAACTAGGGTATTTTGACTTCTCTCATGAGAACTTAAGGTGAGGTGAGAGTGTGGGTATTTTGTATTCTAGGGAAGTCAGTGGAATTACTTTCTCAATAGACTTGGAATTCCTGGAGAGATAGGATATTGTTGTACTTAATGCCTATCACAGTGCCTAGGATAGAGCCTAGCACAGAAAGATACTCTATGTTTATAGTCATAAGTCAAATAGTCAGTTATCTAAACTGAATAACAGCCAGGATGCAGCAAGCGGGGTTCTGGAGATGGCTAAGTGACAAAATAAAATAAGTTTGAGTTTCTACTTTGAAAGCTCAAATTACTGAGCATCCTTCAAGCCATTACTAGGTTTGGGATAATAAAGACAAACAGTTTTAGAAACTAACAGTCAGGCCTACACATAAACATGGTTTGAGACTTTGCCATGCTAAATATCTTCCAGAAGAGAAAATAAATATTTATCTTAATAATCTTATCTCCATACTTACTAGATAATATTGGAATGAATGTATGTTTTTGGAAGCTCCTTATTGACATCTACATCTCCATGAGTTTTTTCAAAAATTATTGATTTTCCACTTTCACTGTTAAAAGATTCAAATGAAACCTTGATTTTATATTTTTCCTTAAATCAGTATTGCCTGCAGTAGAGTCAGCTGACATATCATTTAACTTTGAGACCACAGGGGACAGGAGCTGTTTATGGCCATATCTCCAGTTTCTAGCATTTGCCGTGTGCTCAATGAATATTTATTTAGTAAATAGAATGATAGTATCAGTTTTTCATAATTTTCATAAATTCATTTCATTTTGTGAATGTCCTATCAATATATAAATGGCCCCTACATTTTATATGCATAGCATAAAACAGAGAAAAGTAACAGGAAAAGTAATGGCTGAGTTCATAATAAAGATGAACAATTTATCAAAAGAATTATCTTAGCAGTGAAAGAGGTTTCTCCTAGAAGTGATGAGTTCCCCTCAGTGAATCATGAAAAGAATCAAGACCATATACAAGCAACAATCCTTTTATAAATCTAAATATACTAAGTACTGCAGGCATCTCATTTAAATTTTATTTTGCACTATGACATAATAATATGTAATGCAGTAGTTATTATTATGGCCATTTTACATATAAGGAAACTGAGATTTAGAGAAATCACATATAAAGTAAGTGTAAAATCTAGTTTTGAAATGCAAGTCTGTCTGACAGGCAAGTTTTCCACATCATGTTCTGTTGTCATCTGTCTGATGGTACTAAAGAACTTCATTAGAGGAAGGCAAGAGGAAAAGGTTCTATAATTCTTTCTATATCTAAAAGTCAAAGATGGAAGCCTTACACGAACCAGTTTATAATTAAGAATATGTTAAATGTGGTTATAGTATAATAATTGGCTCCACTATGTAAGGCTTTTGAAAATCATCTTATTCAAATACTTTGCAAAATAGGATAGGAGAGACCCTCTAGAAGTATTATTTTATTTTCATAAAGCAGTAATTTATTTTCCAAAAAAATATTTCTACCAACACAAAATATATGAGTTTTACTCTCACACAAAGTAAATTTGTTAGCCGAAACACCAAAAGGAAGAGAATTTTTAAAAAGTTAAGCTGATTCAATTTCTTGAACTTTTTTTTTAAGTGTGTCCTTGTAATTATTTCAATTCCCTCCCATATAGTTTGAAAAAATCAGAGGAAAACATAACAGTGTAAAAGAAACTTTTTTAAAACTGAGCTTGGAGGGCTGAATGCATATTCCACAACATTCTCTACACCAATAGTTTTATCCTATTTGATTATTAGCTTGTGTTTAATTTTCCTTGACAAATAATTCACCTTTGTTAATAATCATTGAGTGCTGCAAAGCAATTCTCATAAGTACATGGGAATGGATTTTAAACAGTAGCCATTGCTAAGATGCTACTACAAATGCAATTAGCAGAGAAAGTGAAAAGAAGCATGAGAGAGGGGTGGCAGGTCATCGGGAGAAGACCCAGCTCCTTAGTTATTGGTACCGTTCATTCACATACATCTTCCTGTCAATGATGAACATAAAAACTTTCAACAGTTTTACGATCTCTTTGCGGTTTCAAAAGGAGCATCTAGCTATTCTTTGGTACTCTTTCTTTCAACTAAACATAGAGTACACACTATCAAATTGAGTAGGAAAAAAACCTTGACAATAACTTTATCATTAAACGACTTTATAAAAGTCATCATAAATGAATTTATGATACCATCGGAGAATGTTCGAGCTGTAGGAGGGCTCAGAGAACTTCTCATCCACACTTTTCATTTTACAAAAGAAAATCTGAAGCCCAGAAAAGAGAGAGATTCTCCAGGAATAGCCAGTATAAGATCTACGTTCCTAACTCCTAATTTTTCCATTAAGTCTACACATCCCCTGAGCATGATCTATGACATTCAGTGTGTATGTTTCATTAACTTTACCGCCTAAGGTGCTTACCAGCTGTCCAATCCAGTCTCTAATGTTCTTTCAGAACAATAGGGATTATGTGATATTTATTCACTTAAGAAAGTGAATTTTCAGTTATTTCAGATGAAGCTCTTTCTCTCTTTAGAGAGTCACCATAGTGGTCACAACAAGTGTTTTATATAAATAAGCTGGACAAATCCACCAGCTCTTCACAGTGAAAAGAAGTGAGGGCTTGTACTTCTAAGTAACAGGACATACACGCAGACCATCCATGGGCTAAAACTGTTTAAACACCAAGTTCTAAGCATCTTTTTCAGGGAGTACATCATCGAGTCCAACAAGGAAGCTCTATTAACATATTTCAGACAAGAAGCAATGAATAATAAATAACCTCTTTTAAAAACCCTCAAACCTCATTTCTGTAGGAACACCAATTACCTTTACAAAAATCTGGGTGGGACAGTTATTCACTACAAACTTCACTGAGTAACTGCGCCACCTTTTGAAAATGTTCTGTTTTTTTATTTCAAGTGGATTGTATAAACTCAGAGAAAAACACACAATTGGGGACAACATGAGCCTAGTTCCAGATTTTCTGTCTAAACTAAAAATAAGCTCCTCATCTTTAAAAGTGCCAAATTGCAAACTGATGTGTTCAGTTTCATCTGGAGTACATCTAATACCCTCGTTGCTCCTGCTGGTTGGCCCAGTGGGTTGGGGCTCCAGGCGTGGTAACCTGAGATGAGTTCAGGAGCTCCCACAGCAGCGGCCAGGAACCCAGTCACTAGCTCAACGCAAAAGAGCTCTCAAGCTGAGAGTCACTCAGGGCGCCCCCTTCCCAGCTGCATCCGCTGACGGAACCACTGTCAGAGACCGGGGTCCTGCCACAACCGAGTTACCAGCCCAGCATCGTACGCGATAAAATCAGGGCGCCCTCCTGGCCCCCAAACCCAGCCGGCTCCCAGAGAGGGCAGAGCAGTCGTAGCTTCTGTCACTCTCCCAACAGGCAGAGACATAAACAAACAACAAAAGGAATTGTTTGCTCCCCCAGGGAGGCGACATGCATTAAAAAGACATGAACCTCGTCCTACCTTGCATCCAAACATCAACGACAAAGTGTTGTTGGTGCAAGCAACTTTGCAGTGGCAAATCATTGGTGTAAAACAGTCAGGGTCCTTAACAACAGGGGACATTCCTTTCGGGCTGCGGCAGTGGCAGCTCGCTGGGGTACCCGAACACCGCGCTCTCCCCGCACATGGAGCGACAGCCTAGACCCAGCGGCCGCTTGGATCGCTGCCCCCTGCGCCCCGCGCGGCCATCCCAGAGCCCCGGTGGAAGCAAAGCCGTGGGCAAGTACCGAGCGTCTCGGGGTCTCCCTTCCCTGGGGAACGAGGCGTGGGGGAAAGGACAGAACCAAGAGGCCCCCCCGCCCCCTTCAGTGAATTAGGGGAAGGTTAAAAAAATAAAAAGAAATAAAAAGAAAAAAAAAACCCATAAAAATAAAATGAAGCGAGGCGCTTAGAGGGTTTAAAGGAGGTGGGGCAGTATTAGCATGTAAAAGGATGTGCCCGCCTACTCGCCCCAGTCACACAAGATTGTCATGCTCATGCGAGCTGAAGGGGGCTGAAATTATTCCCTCTGGAAAAAGAAAAGAAAAAAGAAAAAAGAGCGAGAGAGAGAGAGAGAGAGAGAGAGACAGAGACAGAGACAGAGAGAAAGAAACCACCGCAGCTCCTGATTTGGTAAAAAGCCGTCGGCTTGCTGCAATCCAGAGTCACCGTGGGGAGCGCTGGCCGGCAAGTGGGGTGGGAAGGAGGAGCCGAGAGAGGGAGGGAGCGCGGTGCTCGCCAGCCCAGCCCAGCCTTCGGGCGCTCCTGGTGCCACCGAGGAGTCCCTGTCCCTGGCGTAGGAGCGCGGGACCTCCCAGCGCTGACGTGACCCCGAGGCCACGCTTGGCCCCCAGCGCTACTGCCTCCCGAGTGTAGACGGCCTGGAGGCCGAGTTCCCGGGAAGGGGAGGCCGGCGCAGAGCCCTGCAGGGAGCATCCTCCCAGCTCGCGGACAGCAGCGTGCATGGGGCGAGGGAGGACACCAAAGGAATCTGAGGTAGAAATGGGCTTAAACGGTTTCGATGGTGTCCTAAGCCCTTGACTTCTGGGTCAACGAGCCTACTCACTTCCTGGGTGGCAGGAGCGGCCTCAGAAGCAAGGCTTTGTGTGATATAATATGTTTCAAACGAGTCTGTTCTCTCCCCACCTTGATGTCTTTGAGGCCCCAAGAAGCCCCAGAAGTATTTATGTTGTTCCGGAAATATGAATAACAAGACTGACGGATGCTTTATTGGTTTTTTTTGTTGTTGTTGCTTGTTTGTTTTTTGCTTTTTAACTGAGGCTGTCAAAATTGCAAAAAGGCCCCAAAAAATCAGCATGTGGCTGGCACAGCTGCAAAATTGCTTGTTGAAGACAAAAAAAAAATGTGATAAGAAGGTTGTGGAGTAGGAAATGGGTAAAACTAGCATTCTTTGGGTGCCACCTGGGTGCCTGGCACTATGCCTCACAGATGGTTGGTGAAAAGAGAGCAAAACATCCGAGTCTGGAATCAGATTCTGACTCTGGTGTGGGGTGTGGCTTTGTGTAAGTCACTTACATTATCTGAACCCCTCCTTGCTTACCTGTAAAGTAGGGCTGTTAACTCCTAACCTACCAAGTTGTCAAGAAGACTAGATTAAGATGGTGAACAATGCATTCCTGTAGTAACCCCCAGTACATGGTCGCTGCTCTTAAGTTACATAGCTTATTTCATTGTATTGCCCTAGAGGTAGATATTATTGGACATAATATTGGAGGAAACTAAGGTCCTTAGGGTTGTATCATTTACCCAGTCACATAATCAATAAGTGTGAAGGTTAGGTTCTAGGAAAAGTAATAGAGGAGAGTTTAAAACACAACATTACAGAAAATATCACACACTTCTCCAGAAATATGTTCTGAATCTCCAGATTTATTTGGAAAGTGTCAGGAATATCATATTCACATGAATATGATAATTCCAAAAGTATCTCTCTAATTGAGCACTGAACTCAGATCCCACCTGAAATACAACAACAACATAACCCTAAATAGCCATAGCAAACCATCAACTCTGATGCAGTTCCACCAGAATACCAGACCATTTATACTCTAAACTTAAACAAGTCCCAAAATCACTATGCTTTATCCTTATAAAGTTTAAATGTGCCAGTAAAAACAAAAGAACAAAACAATTTGCAAACTGTCAAGTCAGATGCAGTGACTTGCAAACTTCCTGTCACCTACTCATGTCCAAAATACAGTCCTCTCCCAAGTTAATGGAAACCAAACCTGATTACGTCAGGATTCTCTGGGACGTTTGTTAAAAGTATGAATTATCAGGCCCAGCCCTGCATTCTCATTCATAGACCAGGAGAATGTCAAGAACCTACATTTTGAATCAACCTGCTTTGAGAAGAATGCATCCTGCCTTAGAAATCAAGACCTCTTTGAAATCAATATAGCACAAAGTATGAGCAAAAGTCAGCACGTAAAGACCCTCAAAGTTGAATTAAACCTGGTTGTAACTGAAGAGGGCAGCCATTCCTCAGGCCCTGGGGTTCTTACACTAAGTGCAGAAGTCTTTACCTAGTTGATTTCTCTATCGGGACTCAGGATTGATTCAACTTAATGAGTATCTGGAGTCTGTGGGACTCAGGAGATCTAATGTATATGTATGAGCTTGAAACATACTAGGTCACATTTTAGGAGCAGAACTCTGGGCTGAGGCCTTCTGTGGAATTTTAAAGTCACATTTACAGATTAAGTGTATCCCTTAGCATTTTATTCCTTTAAGTTACCATAAAATGTGTGACTGTGTGAGCACTTCCACCTACAGAGAATCTATAATTATGGCTGGCTTTTTCAAAAGAGAATAGATTCTAAAAATGTTGTACAATATTTCCCTTATTCATTAGCCTATAATTTGGATTTCAAACACCCCAAAAGTATTGTATGCTCTATATTGTGATGTTCCAATAATATCTAACACAGTCTTTCCCTAATGAATTACTCGAGCTAAGGCTGACCTCCTATTCTAGGGCAGCATTAAAGGCTGCTATGTTCAAGTTATTCCCCATTTTACACTTTGTGCTGGTTTAAATTGGTAAAATGAAATGACAAAATCTAAAGCAAAATGTATCTTTCACTTTCTTGATTTTTATGTTTAAATTTAATCAATGAGAGTTCATTTCTCTACATATCTTTCTCCATACATATACACAGACACACACAGAGATGTGTATATCTGTTAACTCCTTATATGCATTTGATAAAATGCTTTCCCTTCATTCTTGTCTCTAAATAATAGCTCTGGGGTTAACTGAAGGCGGGGGGGGGGGGGGGTGATGGAGGGAAAATGGTTTCCATGACAATGCATTCCATAGTTACAGCCAGTAACCACTGTGGTTAAAGAAAATGAATCACTGTTACCTTAAGATATGAGCACATTGCATTACTGGTCTGAAAAGCACTAATTTGGGAGTGTGTTGCATTGGAGTGTACTGCAATATTTTTAGGAGATATTACTAGGGAATGCAAGGAGATGATGCATTTATTTTAATTGCAATGTGACTACCCTTAATTCGACACTTAAATGATTGATAACATTTACAATTCATCTTAATAATCATCACTTTTATAAAATGATGCGTTACAACTATATACTATTAAACATTTTTTCTAATTAATGACAATTTCCTCAAAATGAACTGAAAATCACAAAAAGAAGATTATCAATAAATATGACCAGGGCTTAATTTTAATTTTTATTTGTGGTTATTATTATTCCTAAGTAGAAATTGAGACAAGGTAAGAGGCATTAGCTAGTTACTCATCAATTTTCATTCTTGCTGATCCTTTCTATAGCAATTTTTAAGTACAGGTTCTTCATGTTAGAAGGAAGAGAGAAGAATAACTACTACGAACCATGGTGCTTCGCCCTATGACCGTGTAACATTGAGCGAGGTACTCAGCTTCTCTAACATCAATTCCCTTATCTTTCAAGATGAAATGGGTATACTACATCATCTTTAAGTTTACTTCCAATGCTGAAGTTCTCTGCATGGTCTTCCCAAAACAGGTTTTTATGAAAGTAAAAGAAATTTGAGAAACTATTTTTTTCAATCACCTGTCTTCAGAAAATAAACCCTTCTATTTATTATGTATTAATATCATATTTGCTATGTGCATTGTTCTACATTCAGGAGTGTTAGAGTTAGACCCCATTGACGAGAGTAGGTTATGTGGAAGTCTTTCTAATTCCCCATTCAGTGACATCATGCTGGTCACTCTGAAACAGCCAGGAGAGAATATTTACACCATGTAAATTAACAAACCCTACAAATTTTAGGCCTTTTGTGTTCAGACAAACTTTTACCAGCACAGACTGATCTAAGTGTTTCTCACATATCTTACTCTCCCAATGACTCTCTCACACCCTGTCTCAGTTCTCCCAAGTCCATCTCACCAAGGAGCATAACTGCAGTGAGATTTGGTTAGGACCCAAACAGATTCTAATGTCTATCATGCTTCCTCCATAATTATCAACTTTTTGTGTTCTCTGTGATTTTTAAGTTCTCTCTATGTCCACTCACTTATCCTCAAGTTATAAAACCCTTTGGGCCAGTCACACATAGTGACTGATTGATCTTTATTTGAGTCACACCTGGCATGTTTCCTTGATCTTCACTTAAAATAATTATCTCAGTAGTTGATTAGTCAACTAAAGAACGAATAAAGAACAAATAAATATGTGCGCTAAGCCAGGCTTTCACAGATTCAACCTAGGCCCTAGGTAAGCTCGTGTGAAGATCTTTGTTTCCTGATCCAGTCTCCCTCTCTACGACCTTCTAGTTGGAAAGAGTAAACCCTTTATTGAAGAAATGCCAGCCCATTCATTTTGAATCAATTTTGTCATTTTGTTTCAGCAGCAAGTGTTTAAAAATGATTACTGTCCTCAACTTTAATAAGGTAAGAAAATTTTGCCTTTAGGACTTCTCCTGACAATAACTCTCACTCTTGTTGCCATTTTGAAAAAGCAGCTGCAAAATACTATCCTGTATACCACCCATGAGAAGTTCCTTAGTAGCAAAATTCAAACTAAAAAGTCATTCTTCTTAGGTCTTATTGTTCACCAAATTTGACACCAGTTTTGAAATAATACATTTTGTGTCTTGGGTTCCAGTCCTAGTTTTGACACTTACTATGTAATTCTGAGTTTGTTATTTTATCTTCTTGACAGTTAATTTTCTCATCTAATAAAAAAGAGGAGTGGGTTGTTGACTAATATCTATATCACAGGGTTCCTATGAGGATTGACTAAAATGCTGTATGTAAAAGTACCTACTAAAGTGCCTTGCACATATTAATAA